ATTTCTGTTTAACTAATGCTTACAGAATGCCAGCAGCCAGGGTGCACAGACAGGAATTTGGGTGTTAACACAGATGTTTCTTGTGGAGAGGGGCAGCAGGTGGTGCAGATGTGCTTCTTGAGACTGTGTGCACCTGTTACGTCCAGCAGGACAGGCTCTGGCAGTGGCTGGGCCAACCACTCATGACACGTTGGAGGTCTTGACCCAGAGGGAGCTCTTGAGGAAGAATGTGTCCATCCAAGTCTTGGGCTGCAGGGAAAGGATGGTGTCTCACCTTGAGTCAATGGCACTTAAACTGTGTTCATGGAGAACCTGCAGGGGCAATAGCCTGAACTATGCATTGCATGGAAAGAAGCATGACCAGAAGCTGTGCTTAGTGGAGACTGAAAGTTTGTGACTCCTGACAGCAGGAACAAGTCTCTTGGCTTGTCTTTGGATATGCACTTACAGAATAGATTTGGGGCCTTAGAACAGGTGAGGAGGAGCAAGCTCCATCAGGGAGCCATCTTGGCCTAATCAACTGGTTGTAAGCAGTGCCACCAGGAGAAGGACTCCCTTCTGCAGGGGATGGAGGCACTCATCTGCAGATGAGGCTTGCTGTCTAAGGTGGTTTGGTTTTTAGGGGCTTAGATCTAGGATGTTGCGGAAAGTACAAGGTTTTTTTGACCCTCAGACTATTACCCATTGGCTGCTCATCTACATGGACACCAGTGATACTATTGAGGGAGGCCTTGCATGGGTAAAAGGTAACTACAGCCCAGGGAATAGGGTGAAGGGCACAGGAAACCCAGTGGTGTTCTGCTTCATCCTGCCAGTTAAGGAAAAAGGCTTGATTAAGAGTAAGGAATTCTGCTAACTAGTAATTCAGCTACATTGTGAGTCCTTTGAATAAGAAAACTTGGATTACAGATTTGTTTGTCAACTAACATGATTCAAAGATGTAATTATTTTTGCATTTTTAGTAAGTATTATTCCAAGCTTAGTTTCAGTATCATCTCCTTTTGATGATTATTTGATTAAGTCTGTCAGATACTGTAGCAAGGAATAAGTGGGCCTGGCTTTCTTTAATTGACTTTTTTTTCCTAAGTTTTTTTCTGGGAAGTTTCACAATGATAAGGTTCCTGGCAGCATTCATCTCTGTACCACTCCAGAGATTTCTATCCCGATCCTCCTCCAAGCATACGAACAGTCCATCACAGTCCTCGGGAAAACATTTCAATGTTTCAAGAGGCTGGCTTGGCTAAACGGAGAAGTCATGAACAAGCTTCAATGCAAGAAAAGCAGTACAGAGAAAGTAGAAGCAGGGAAAGGTTATAAAAGAGGAATTTAGACAGTTTGCCCAGGCACGTAAGGTTATATTGGGAAAGACAAAGCTCAACTGGAGTTGAGACTTGCAGAGGATATCAAGGGCAATAATGCTATGGCAGTAGTTAAAGGCTGAAGAAGGAAAAATGTGCGACTGTTGCTGAATGCAGCACATGATTTTGTGTCAGCAAACACAGGTAAGGCAGAGGTACTGAATGCCTTCTTTCCTGAGTCTTTGTTCACAAGGTCTTCAAGTCCTCTGTGCATAGAGACAGGGTTCAAGGAGGAGTACTACCAGTAATAGGTGATGGTTGAGTCGGAAATTGAGAAAATTTGACCCATACAAGTCCATGGGACTAGGTAGACTGCATCTAAGGGTGCTGAGAGTGCTGGCTGGTGTCACTGCAAGGTTACTTTCATTTTTGAAAGGTTGTGGAACTTGGGAGAGGTCTCCAATGACTGGAAAGGGACAAACAATGTACCCATCTTCAAAAAAAAAAAAAAATCCCAACCAAAAAAAAACGCCAAAGGACTAAACTACAGACTACCCCAATCCACTGAACTACAGACTAATCATCTTCTCTTAAATCCCTGGGAAATTCATGGACAGAGTCCTCTCAGAACACATTTCTGAGCATGCAAGGGGTAAATCATGCCTGACAAGCCTGATTGCCTTCGATAATAAGGCTACATTTCTGGATGAGGGGAAAGGAGCAGATGTCATTTGTGTTCACTTTAGCAAGACTTTTGACGCTGCCTCCCTCAATATTTTTGTATCCATTTTAGGATAATATGTTTTTGATGGATGGACAAATAGATAAGTAAAAAAATTGGTTGGGTAATCAGGCTCAGAGATAGGGGTTAGTGGGTCCTAGTGTGCCTGCAGGCTAATAAGAGGTGGAATACCAAAGGCGTCTGTCCTGGGACCTGTCCTGTTTAACATGTTTATTACTGACCTGGAGGAGGCAACAGATTCCATTCTTGTTGAGTTTTCTGGCAATACCAAGCTAGAAGGAAAAGTTGGTAATCTTAATGGCAGGACTGTCATCCAGAGGGACCTAGACAGATGGAAGGAAACAGGAACTTTATGAAATTCAGCAAGGACAAAGGCAAAGTCTTGCACCTGGGAAGAAGGAATCGCTTGCAACAATATGAGTTGGAGATTGATTTGCTAGGGAGCAGATTTGCTGAAAAAGGACCCAGGGCTACTGGTATACAGACAGCAAGCTGAACATGAGCCAGCAGTGTGCCCCAACAATAAAGAAGGTGTCCTGGGCTATATTAACAGGACCACAGCCAGTAGGTCTGGAGAAATTATTCTCCCCATTTAGTCAGTGCTTGCTGACCACATCTAGAATACTGTGTCCAGTTTTGTCCTCTCTGTTACAAGAAAGACATCAGTTAACTGGAACAAGTTAGCAGAGTCACCAAGGTGATCAGGGGGCTGGATCACATGCCCTCTCTGGAGAGGCTGAGGGAACTGACTTCAGCCTGGGGAAGAAGGAGCACCTCAGAGCAGCCTTCTGATACCTGTAATAAGTTTGCTCAGAAGACACAGCCAGGCTCTTCACAGTGGTACATAGTAGGAGGACAAGTGAAAGCAGTCATAAATTGAAACTAGAGAGTTCCAGCTGGTTGCAAGGCAGAACTTTTCCACCATGAAAACACAGAGGCTGTGCATTCTCCATCCTCACAGGTTTTTACAACCTGACTGGATAAAACCCTGAGCAACATGGTCTGGCCTCATAGTTGACCCGGCTTTGAGCAGGAGGTTGAAATAAATTATCTTCTGAACTCCCTTCCAACCTGAACTGTTTTTATTATTCTATGACCTCAGAAGACCCCAAATACTAATGCAGTTCTTCTCTTGCTCTCCTTTCTGAAACCAGTACTATATTCTTGTTTTTCTTTCCATGAGTTTACCGTGTTGCAAATTTAGAATAGAACTGTAATGTATTTCTCCTCCTGAAAGATCTGACATGCATTCATGTTTCAGTTATTCATGTGATTTCCAGTTTCATATCCCACATTAATAGGTCTGTTTCCATCCCTTTTGTTGCCCAGTTTCTTGTTTTAATTTATAAGTGTTTTACTTCATTGGACTGCTAAAGGAACAAGAACTAAAAACATGACTAATGTGGGACCAGTAAACAATTTAAAATGTGCTGAGAGCTCAACTTATATTAACACTTCCATGAAATTTTAGAAAACAAAACCAACAGCAAAAAGATTGATGAAGTAAAGGCATCTTGTAATAAACTGTTAAAATATTGCTGCTGTTCTAAGGAAATGAGATGAGCAACACTACAAAATGGCCTGAAAGACACCTGGGAAAAAAGATAAATTTACGTGATTCAGAATTGTGTATGAAAATCAATAAGGTAAGGTAAGATTTCTTCCCAAGTATAGCTATGCAAAATAATTTAAGTTGGAAGAGTCATTTTATCTAACCTCCTGCTCAGAGAGATGCTAGCTTCAAAATTAAATGAGGTTGCTGAGGATCTTGTTAGTCAAGGTTTGAATATCCTCAAGGGTGGGCTTTCCACAGCCAATCTGGGGAATCTGTTCTAGTACTTAACTACTCTCATGGTGAAGATCTTGGTTTTTTTCCTTTGCATCCAGTCAGAATTTCTCTTGCTGCAGCTTGTTACTTTTGCAGCTCATCCTTCCACTGTGCAACTCTGAGAACAGTCTGACTTGTCTTTTCTATAATCCAGCTTCAGGTACTGGAAGACAGGAATTTAGATCCCCCCTGCTCCCTCTTAACCCTTCTTCAGTTTGAACAGATTCTTTTATCTTGGCCTGTCTTGGTATGTCATGAAGTCCAGCACCCTTTGTGGCCTTTCTACTGGACTGTCTGCAGTTCATCAATAACATTCTTTGCACAGGGGTGGCACAAAACTGGGTTTGGTATTACAGATGGTGGCCCCATCAGTGCCTAATAGAAGTCATCTTCCTTTAACCTGCTGGCAGTGCTGTTGCTAATCAAGTGCAGTGAACTGTTAGCTTTCGGTAGTGCATCGGTGCACTGCTGACCCATGTTCAACCTGTCATCCACCAGGACCCAACACCCTTTTCTGCAAAGCTACTTTCTAGCCAGTGAGCAACCATCCTGTACTGTTGCATGGGGTTATTCCATTTCAGCTGCAAGATTCTCTGTTTGCCGTTGAACTGCTGGAGTTTCCTGTCAGCGCATTGCTACAGCCTGTTGAAACGCACCTGAGTGGCAGCTTCACCCTCCAGTATATTGATGACAGCTCCCAGTTTAGGCTCATCTGTGTACCTGCTGAGGACTTTTTCTGTCCCATTGTCCGGCTCGCTAGTAAAGCCATTAACAGTATTAGTTTGACTCCTATATTATACCACTTCTACGTGACCAACACTTGGACATTAAACTACTGACTGCTGATCTTTGAGCCCTGCTGTCCAGGCAGTTTGTCACCCACCTTGTAGCCCACCCATCTCATCCATGTTTCACCAGTTTGGCTCTAAAGATACAGTGGAACACCATGCAAAAACCTTTTTTAAGTCAAGGTAGACAGCATACATATACTGTTCTCCACTTTTTTAATAAACCACTCGTTATGGGAAGCTATCAGGCAAAATTTGCCCTTGGTATGCCTGTGTTGACTGTTCCCAGTCGCCTTCTTGTCCTTCATGTGCCCTGACATGGCTTCTGCGAGGACGTGTTCCACAGTCTTCCTGCGGGGTGAGGTTAGGCTGAACAGCCTGTAATTCCCTGGGTTATCCTTCCTGCCTTTCTAATGGATATGATGTTTGTCTTTTTTCAGTCATCAGGAACCTCATCCAATCACCATGATCTTTCAAAAGTGGTAGCAAAACTGCCTTGCAATGACAATGGCTCACTTCTCAACATCCTCAGTTGGCATCCCATCCAGACTCATGAACTTGTGGATGTTCAGTTTGCTTAGGTGGTGCTTAACTTGATCTTGCTCTGCCGTGGGTAGTATTCATTCCCCTGTTAGTTTTGATAGTCTCTTTAACTAATCCAGGTTTTGTTCATCTTTGTTCCACAAAAATTACTTGTTTCAGGTTTTTGTGGAAGGACTTTAGTTGCCTAAGGTCATATAACATGTAGCAGAAGATTAATTAAGTAAATAGAGTTGTATAATGTTTTGGTATGGGTGGCAGAAATCCTCTATGTTTTTCACACTGCCTATTCAATAGAAACTTTTTGATTGGAGTGTTGAGGAGCAAATTCTCATTCATTTATGTCATGGTTTAACCCCAGCCAACAACTAAGCACCACAGCCACTTGCTCACCCTCCCCGCCCCTGGTGGGATGGGGGAGAGGATCGGAAGGGTACAAGTAAGAAAACTCATGGGTTGAAATAAGAACAGTTTAATAATTGAAATAAAATAATAACAATAATAATAATAATAATCATTAAAAATGGTGAAAAGGAAAACAACAAGAAGAGGAACAAAACCGAGGGGAAAAAAAAACAAGTGATGCAACAAGTCACCATCCACCAAACGATGTCCAGCCAGTCCCCGAGCAGCAGTCGCTGCCCGCCGGCCAACTCCCCCAGTTTGCATACTGAGCATGACGTTATATGGTATGGAATATCCCTTTGGCCAGTTCGTATCAACTACCTTGGCTGTGCCCCTTCCCAGTTTGTTGTGTACCTGGCAGAGCATGGGAAGCTGAAGAAGTCCTTGACTAGCCTCAGTATTACTTAGCAACAACTACAACATCAGTGTGTTATCAACATTCTTCTCATCCTAAATCCAAAACACAGCACTATGCCAGCTACTAGGAAGAATATTAACTCTATCCCAGCTGAAACCAGGGCAACTTCTAAATGTAAAAATTCCTCCTTCATAAAAAGAGGAACATATTTGAAAGACTATAGATAGATAAAAGAAAATCTTAACTTTGCATTGTTTACATATTAACTGTTAGCCAAAGTTGTCTAAGGGTAGATAGTAGTAAAACTAAAAACGATGAAACCTATTTTAAAAGTATTCAATGTGTAGTTACATTCTGTATGTTTTAAGGTGTGTTTTGTTTCTAACAGATTTTGTCTTCTAAGAGTGATTCCCGTTTGAAGCACTTACTGCAGCGAGCACCTGAGTATTGTCCAGAATCAATGGTAAGGCTTGCTAGTTTTTAATTAAAGAAAACAAAACAACTATTCCTATATTAAGAAAGTTTTGCTTGCAAAACATAAGGTTTTAAAATTACTTGTATTTTATTTACTCACTGAATTTTGAGCTGGTAGAACATATGTGTATGTCTTCAAGATTTTGCTTCCTTGCTATGAGGACTAAAAGAAATCTTATAATGAGATTTGATCTTCAAGGTAGGGTGTTTTTTGTTTTCTTTTGTTTTTTTTTTTAAAGCCATTGTGTATTACGCTACTTGCAATAAGATGGGACTTGACAATTTTGCTAGGTGTCCTGGTTGTGTAAGCTGTGAAATGCAATGAAAATCTGACCTGTGTTGTAAAAAATTGTGCTGGGTGATTGTCACTTGGATGTTGATGGCAGTGACTTAAATTAGATCATGTGTTGCAGATTGTATATGGGACAAAGCTGTGAGGTCTCGGTTCGGCTGAGGCAAGGAGACCCTCATAGCTGCCCTGAATGGTTAGATAGATCCTTTCCTCCTGTGTGTCAAAAGTATGTATTTTCAATTTTTTGTTTCTGTGGATCATCAGCTCTAAGGTCTTGGAAAGTTATAGACAGCTGATGGTATGAGTAAAACCTGTGGCATGAAAACATATCAAAGTGGTGAATAACATTTGTTTTGCTACTGGTTTTCTTTATCTTTTATTCCCTGATAGGAAGAGTAGGATCTGTCTGTATAGTAGAGGAGCCTGTTTTTAGAAGACAGGATTGGAGAGTATCTGAAAGGGGGAAAATGATTGACACTGATTTTTTTTTTTAACTCCCATTTACCATCTTTATAAATGGAAAGTTTGCTGTCCAGTGTGTATCTTAAATTAATAGCACTGAACTGGTAATATCTATAAACTTTTTAAAACACACCTAGATATAAAATAGTAACCGTTCAACTTAGTACCATATTTGCTGTTTTCAGATACCACTTGTCTTTATTGGAGAGGTGTTCTAGTGACATTCCACAGATGAGCAGATAGATTATGAATTTAATCAGATGGTCTATTTTCTGGAGCACTGGTTACATTGTGTTGTCTATATTCCTTCAGGTAATATGATAGGAAGGTTATTGCCTGATATTAAGTAATACAGTAACTGCCAACACAAGAGGCGACTTTATCTTAGAATCATAGAATCATTTAGGTTGGAAAAGACCCTTAAGATCATCAAGTCCAACCGTTAACCTTCTCATGAAATAAAGGAAGTCAACTGAATCAATGAGGTGGAACTAGTAGAAGTAGCAGCTCTTTACCCTTTTCTTTTGAGCTGACTTTAACTCTTATCTAAATTAAAGAGGGAAACTCCTACAAATATGGCAGAGGACAGTTTTAGATCATTAGATGCAGATCCATGGCAACTTCAGAAAGTCATTAATTCCTGTGATGACAGAATCGTTGCATGACTGTATGGGTTGCTGTTTCAGTGTTACTGAATTGGACTTTTCATTTTTGTCTCAAAGAGCATGTTCAACACTTTCATTTAAAGCCCCTTGTGGTGAGTTGACCTTGGCTGCACACCAGGTGCCCACCAAAGCCGCTCTATCAGTCCCCTCCTCAACTGGACAGCGGAGAGAAAATATGACAACAGGCTCGTGGGTCGAGATAGGACAGGGAGAGATCACTGACCAATTACTGTCACGAGCAAAACAGACTCACCTTGTGGAAATTAATTTAATTTATTGCCAATCAAAAGGTCAGAGTAGGAGAATGAGAAATAAGAACAAATCTAAAACCACCTTCCCCCCACCCCTCCCTTCTTCCCAGGTTCAACTTCACTTTTCTCTACCTCCTCCCCCTGAGTGGTGCGGGGGGATGGGGAATGGGGGTTGTGGTCAGTTCATCACACGTTGTCTCTGCCACTCCTTCCTCCTCATGCTCTTCCACTGCTCCCAGCATGGGGTCCCACCCACAGCAGATGGTCCTCCATGAAATTCTCCAGTGTGGGTCCTTCCCTGGGGCTGCATTTCTTCATGAACTGCTCCAGTGTGGGGTCCCCCACAGGGTCACAAGTCCTGCCAGCAAACCTGCTCCAGTGTGGGCTGCTCTCCACAGGGCCACAGGTCCTGCCAGGAGCCTGCTCCAGTGTGGGCTCTTCATGGGCTGCAGCTTCCTTCAGGGCACATCCACCTGCTCCAGCATGGGGTCCTCCATGAGCTGCAGTGTGGATATCTGCTCCAACATGGTTCTCTGTGGGCTGCAGGGGGACAGCCTGCTTCACCATGGTCTTCACCACAGGCTGCAGGGGAATCATTGCTCTGGCACTTGGAGCACCTCTTCCCCCTCCTTCTTCACTGACCTTGGTGTCTGCAGGGTTGTGTCTCTCACATATTCTCACTCCTCTCTCCCAGCTGCTGTTGCATAGCAGTTTTTTCCCCTTTCTTAAATGTCATATCACGGAGGTGCTACTAAAATCGCTGATGAGCTCAGCCTTGGCCAGCAGCAGGTCCATCTTGGAGCCAGCTGGAACTGGCTCTGTCAGACATGGGAGAAGCTTCTGGTATCTTCTCACAGAAGCCACCCCTGCAGCCCCCCCGCTACAAAAACCTTGCCACGTAAACCCAGTACCCTTAAGTACCCTTAAGACTTGTCACTTGCCTTCTTACTCTGCAGAATTTTCCTCTGATTTCATCTAATTAAGGTTTTCCCGGTGCTTGCTTAAAAAATACTGAATGCAATGACAGTGTACTAAAATACTAAAATGTAATCCTTCAAGGCTTTTCTGTACTCTTGTCATTTTAAGTACTATACTGTGATCATATTGTCTAAGTGTTGTAAGACTCCTTTTGTAGGAAGTTTAAACATCTAGCATAGTGTATCACAACTCCCATAGCTTTGAATTCTTCAGGCTTCTAACACAGCGCACCCACTGTAACTGTGATATGTACTTGTTTCTGACAGTTGAACTAAAACTCTTACCTTAGATGGAACTCTTCCTCTGCTGCCTAAACATCCTTCTTCCAGGACATTTGTAACTTTTATTGCATGGGTAACCTAAGTACCTGTGGCAGACCAGTGTCTGACCTGAGATTTATTTTATACTAGCCCCAGTGTAAAGAATCCCTCATAGTCAGCTTGGCTAGTAGTCTTGGTAATAACAGTAATGAGAGAGATAGGGACAGCAACTCTTTGGTAAGCTCTTCACCTTCTTTTTTCTGCCAAAAAAAAAAAAAAAAGCCACAAAACATTTGCAGAATTATTTTCCCTAATACCATCAGCCACTTAGGTCATCTAACAAAACCTGAGCTTAGGACCAGACATGCTTTGCAGTTGGGGTGAATCCAACAGATCCCTATTGTAACTTTTCATGTTAGTAATATTTACTTATACATCCTTCTTCCATGTATCTATCTTTCCCTGAAGCTACATTTCTCTGGTCTCTGGGGTACCTTAAAACCTCTTTTTTTTGTGTGTGTGTGGTTATATGTGTTGTTTGGGTTTTTTTTTTAAGCTGGTGGAAAGGAAAGCTAGGGCAATAAGCTTCTCCACAGGTCTTCGTGCTAGATAAATCTTTTTCTTTGTCTAAATAGTTGCTACTTAGTTCTCTAAACACTGGTGGAGAAAGTTGACTAGCTAGCATATTCCAGGTAATCACAGCATGTCGTGCACCGACAAAAAGCTGCTATTGATAACATAGTCTGTTGATGGCAGCCTTCTCGTCAAAACAAGTGGTCCTCAACTTATATCACATAGTTGCTTCTTCAAATGATGTCTTGGACATAAGAATTCTTCCATTAGGATATTTAAAACCCAGGGCAAAAATGCTGAAAATGCTGTTTTGTGTCTGCTAGAAACTCTTATTCTGTAGACTTACTTTTGCTTAATTGCATTTTACTTTTCAGGGAGAAGTGTGGGGTTGTATAAATTCTTCTTTGCCAGGTAAGAAGTACTAGTTTACTATTGAATTGTGTTGCTTTTTCACCATATGTATGTTTTGATGTTGTGTCTACCACCTGCACCTATAGATTTTTGTGATAATTTAACTTTCATTATGCTTCCCTTATAAACTGTATTTGATGTCTAGTTTCCTTTCGTCTAAGTGGGGTTACCTGGGCTTTTTTTTATTTTAACACTTCTTTTCACAGAGTGCCTCTGTGAGGTGCCTGTACATTAGTGCACACAGCATGGAGAGCAGACAGGAGGAATTAGAAGTCTACGTGCAGTTACAGGGCTACGATTTTATTGGGGTCACAGAGACACAGCAGGAAGGCTCCCACAGCAGGAGTGCTGTGATGGACAGGTACAGGAAGGACAGGCCAGGAAGGTGAGGAGTGGTAGTTGCCCTTTATGTGAGAGTGTAACTGGTGTGCATGGAGCTCTGCCTGGGGATGGATGATGAGCCAGTTGAGAACAGCACATGAGCATATGAGTGGCATAGTATGGGTATATCAACATATTAGTGAGCATTCCAACATAGTTGATGGTGCGGGTGTCGCTACAGACTGCCTGATCAGGAAGAATTAGTAGATGAGGCCTTCATACAACTGGAAGAAGTCTCATGTTCACAGGCCCTGATGCTCATGGGCAAGTATAATCACTCTGGTACCTTTTGAAGAGACAACACAGGAGGGCACAGGCAGTCTGCTTGGAAGAATCCCGTGGGGTTTGGCCCTGGAAAGAAGAGAGGTCCAAGAGAGCTGGTTGATTTTCAAGGATCACCTTATCCAAGTTCCAGTTACGGGGTTAAAAAAGCCAGAGCCTACCTGGAGTTCATCCTGGTGAGATATGTGAAGGGCAGCCAGAAAGCTGCCCTGTTTCTTTAACTATATCAGCAGCAAAAGGAAGACCAGGAAAAATGAGGGCCTGCTGCTGAATGGGACAGGAAACCTGGTGACAAATTACATTAAAAAGCCAGGGCCACCTTTGCCTCAATCTTTACTGGTAAGATGAGCCTTCAGGAATGCAGATCCCTGAGATCAGTGGCAAAGTCCAGAGCAAGGAAGACTTGCACTTGATGGAGGAGGATCAGGTTAGGTAATATTTAAGCCAACCGAACACAAGTCTATGGGACCTGATGGATACCCTTACAAGTGCTGAGGGAGTTTGCTAATGTCATTGCAAGGTCACTCTCAATAATCTTTGAAAGGTCATGACTATTGAGAGAGGATGCTGAGGACTGGAAGAAGGCAAATGTCACTTCTGCCTGTAGAAAGGGCAAGGAGGACCTGGGGAACTACAGGCTGGTCAGTCTCACCTCAAACCCTGGGAAGGTAATGGAACAGATCTTCCTGCGAACCATGTCCAGACACATCAAGGACGAGAAGGTGATTGGTTATAATCAGTCAGCATGGGTTTATGAAGGGGAAATCATGCTTAACCAACCTGATAACCTTCTGTGATGAGATGACTGGCTTGTTAGATGAGGGGAGAGCAGTGGATGTTGTCTAGCTCAACTTTAGTAAGGCTTTCAGCACTGTTTTTTGTAATATCCTTATACACAAACTGATGAAGCGTGGGTTGGATAAGTGGACAGTGGAGGTGGATTGAAAACTGGCTGAACTGCTGGGCTCAAAGGTTTGTGATCCGTGGCACAGAGTCCAGCTGGAGGCCAGTATCCCAGGGGTTGATGTTGGGTCTAATCCCATTTAACATCTTCATTAATGATGGGACAGAGTGTACTCTCAGTGTATTTGTAGATGATACAAAACTGGGAGGAGAGGTTGCTAGACCAGATAGTTGTGCTGCCTTTCAGAGGGATGTTGACAAGATGGAGAAATAGGCAGACAGGAACCTCATGAAGTTTCAGAAAAGGAAATGCAAAGTCCTGCACCTGGTGAAGGCCCCATGCTCCACAGCAGACAGGAGGCTGACCAGCTGGAAAGCAGCTTTGTTAGAAATGTACCTGGGGATCCTGGTGGACAGCAAGTGGAACATGATCCAGCAGTGTGCCCTTGTAGGCAAAGAAGGCCAACAGCACCCAGGCTGCGTTAGGGAGTGTGTTGCCAGCAGATCAAGGGAGGTGATCCTTCCCCTCAACTCAGCATTGATGAGACCGCATCAGGGATACTGTGTCCTGTTCTGGGCATCTCCGTACAAGAAAGATATGAACACGCTGGAGCAAGTCCAGCAAAGAGCCACTTCAAGATGATTAAGGGACTGGAACATATATGAGGACAGACTGAGAGAGCTGGGATTGGTTACCATTTTCAAAGAAGAGAAAGCTGAGGGGGGTGGATCTTACCAATATGTATAATTATCTGATGGAAGTGTATAAAGAAGGTGGAGCCATGCTCTTCTCAGTGTTATCTAGTGGCAGGAGAAGAGGCAGTGAGCACAGATTGAACCATGGTAACTTCCATTTAAACATAAGAAAAAACTTTTTTACTGTAAGGATGATTGAACAGTGGAAGAGGTTGCTCAGAGAGGTTTTGGAGTCTCCATCTGTGCAGGTATTCAAAATCTTATTGGGCAGAGTCATAGAATCATAGAATGCTTTGGGTTGGAAGGGACCTCTAGGGATCACCTAGCCCAACCCCCCTGCAGTGAGCAGGGACAGCTTTGACTGGATCAGGTTGCTCAGAGCCCCATCCAACCTGACCTTGAATGTTTTGAGGGATGGGGCCTCCACTACCTCTCTGGGCAACCTGTTCCAGTGCTTCACCACCCTCATTGTAAAAAAATTTCCTCCTTATGTCCAGTGTAAATCTATCTTACTTTAGTTTAAAACCATTGCTCCTTGTTCTGTCGCAACAGGCCTTGCTAAAAAGATTGTCCCCATCGTCCTTGTAGCCCCCCTCTAAGTACTGAAAGGCTGCAATAAGGTCTCCCTGCAGCCTTGTCTTCTCCAGGCTGAACAACCCCAACTCCCTCAAGCCTGTCCTTGTAGGAGAGGTGCTCCAGCCCTCAGATCATTTTTGTGGCCCTCCTCTGGACCCGCTCCAACAGTTCCATGTCCTTCTTGTGCTGAGAGCTCCAGAGCTGGATGCAGTACTCCAGGTGAGGTCTCACTAGAGCAGAGTAGAGGGGAAGAATCACCTCCCTTGACCTGCTGGCCACTCTTCTTTTGATGCAGCCCAGGATATGGTTGGCTTTCTGGGCTGCAAGTGCACATTGTTGGCTCATGTCCAGCTTTTCATCCCCCAGTACCCCCAAGTCCTTCTCCTCTGGGCTGCTCTCAATCCCTTCATCTCCCAGCCTGTATTGGTATCGGGGGTTGCCCCATCCCAGGTGCAGGACCTTGCACTTGGCCTTGTTGAACCTCATGAAGTTCACACAGGCCCACCTCTCCAGCTTGTCCAGGTCCCTTTGGATGCAATCTCATCCTTCTGGCGTGTCAGCTGCACCACTCAGCTTGGTGTCATCTGCAAACTTGCTGAGGGTGCACTCAGTGCCACTATCTGTGTCATTGACGAAGATGTTAAACAGCACTGGTCCCAGTACGGACCCCTGAGGGACACCACTTGTTCTGGGCAGTCTGCTCTAGCTGACCTTGCTTTGAGCAGGGAGATTGGACTAAACAATCTCCAGATGTTCCTTCCAGCCTCGGTGATTATGTGGTTTTCTTTCTGATTTTTCTCCCCTTTGACTATCCTCAGTACAGAAAGTATTTCATAACAGAGTTTAGAATGGGGCCACAAACTTGAGTTTTGACTGGATCAGCGTCTCTGGTTTTTCATAGTGCAGCATCCGCAAAGTGTTTTCACACACACATGCACACACACGCAGACACACGCACGCGCACGCAGACATATGATGAAATAGTGCACAGCCCTCCCAACATAGGTGTTATCATGGACAGTTGCAGAATATTGACTGGATAAACAGATGACTTAGTTATTTTCTTTCTTAACAGCTGTATGACATGCCTGGCAGTTTAGTTAAGAATGCAGGTGAAAACCTGTTTTGCTTATGGGTTTCAGTGGCATCCTGTTGTAACACAATATATATGCTAAATAATTTGGGACTCTGCCTTATAATTTGCTGCTATATATATCCTCTTTGTATTTTCATTATAGTTCGTGTTTCCTCCTCTTCCATTCCTTCCCCACACCAACTTGATATTACTGATCTGTGTTAAAATTTAGAAATTGTTTGATTTACCAGTAACTTCATCACAATAGTTACCTTAAAATATTAATATTCTCACAGCTACCACCTGAGCTACTACTCTTTTTCACATTTGTTTCCACTTCCTTAAACCCGTCATGATGGTCTTCTATTTCTTTTATGGCTCATCCTCACAAAACCACACTGTAAGTCATGCTTTGTTGTCCTTGCCAAGACAGTGTTGCAAGCCTTAAATACTTAACACTAGATATTCAGGAATGTAAGTATTCTCCTAAAGAAAATTGTTTTTCCATGTTTTCTGAAGGCAAGTATCATTAGTTTGTCAAAGTCTGTTTATTAAATCCAGTAGGCCTACAGAACATGTATTATTTTTTGGGACTTGTCTGGGAAATTGAAGTTTCTTTATGACCATGCACACACAGTAGTTCAAGAAGCTGCTTACAAAACATGATCGAGGGACCCTCAGCTGGGGATGGGGAGAGGGGAAGAGCAAACCCAGCAACCTGTAATTCTAGATGATAACTATGTTCTGATTTTAAACTTTTATCATTTTCTGTAAGCAGACTGTAGAAGACTTCAAAGAGACAACAAAATTCTCACTTGGGCTTTCTTGCACCCTTCTTGACACATGCAACTGTTGAACAAGAGAAGCCTAGTTGTTTTTCTCCTTTTTCCATCTACCTTTTTGTTTTCCTCCTCAGTTTCCTTGGGATCACAGTGATCCAGCATTTCTCAGATACTTTCAGAATGTAGAATGTTTCTCTCATCACAAAATAAGTGTATCAAAGGTGACATAATTTTTCATGTTTATGCAGCTTTTTATCTGTGCTTCTGACTTCAATACTCTTGTGGAGACTGCAGTAAAATGTTTATAATAAGGAAGAAAAGTGTGTGTGTGTGTTGTAAGTCATCTCACTAATGTGATGTGGCTTCTGGAAACCTTTTGGAGGAGATGTGGGACAAAAGCTTGTGTTACACAACTAGATGATCTTCTGTAGTTCAGGGATCTGTATTGTACTTCTGTCAGTTAATTTGGTAAATAATCAGAACTATGGACTCCAGTCAATTAATTGTGCACTGAAGGTGTATTTTCATCTAGAAATGCATGCATTTTAATTACCTTGACTATAAAATTAACTTATAAATTGCTGTATTAAAATTGCAGTTCCATGTTTTTTTAAGATGTGACATCAATTTTTTTCTCTGCAAGCTTGTCTGCTACTTGTAAATATCCAGGGGAGAGGGTCCTTGCCAAGAAAATACTAACAATGGCTGAAACTTATCACCGTTCTTAATTTGGCATGCATTTGTAGCTTGCTTCATTCTTTTAGTACAGTTTATTTCTGGTAAAAGTATTTCTGAAAACCACAGGCTCTGTATTGCACAAAATATGGATGCTTGATTATTCAGTGGTGATTCACTCGTGACTATTCAGTGGTGACATTGCCCCTAAAGCTGTACAGCTGTATTTATCACGTGTATCTCCTGGATATAGCTGGTTATTGCAGCAGAGATTTCTGGAAATCTTGTTTTCATATCGCACGTACTTCTTTTATGTTTTTTAGATTGCTTATACCTTACAATAACAATCTTACTAATAAATATTCTATCAAACATTACTGGTTTGATTGAAGGCAGTCCATGTATAACTCCACATATGAAAGTTATGCAGAACCAACTGCTACATTATTTTAGGTCTAAAATAGAATGTGGTGGGTAGTTGATTTGGCAATTAACTGTACATATGTAGTTAAACATGTGCATGACTTCCATGTAGACATGCATTATCTTTTGGAATTAGTTTAAAACAATGCATCAAATTCCGAATTTTTGAACATTGATTACAAACTACTGATGTGTGCACAACAGCCATCTCTAATACATTCAAAAAGATGCTCAATCTCTGAAGAACTAATTCCATACCCCAATTATGGAAGTCAGCTGAATTTGCAGTTGTTCGTGGCCTTCACAGCTGCTTTGAACTAGTTTGAATTGGAAAGGTGAGCCAATACTCTGAATAGATGTAAAGAGGATTTGGAAAGTCTCCAAAAAGATCAGTAAATCAGTGGCCTACAGTGCTTCCAGAAGGTCTGGACCATGTACAGATGGTACACGGCCATTTCAAACTGACAGAATGCAGGCTGCAGCCAAAAGCTGTTCTTCACCTTTGCCTCTCTGCTCCTTCCACCTGCTATCCAGTCCTGCTACCTTGCTTGTGTTGAGCATTAAGGTTTTAATTTGTATTTTAATAAATGTAATTAATATTTTAATGTGCTGGGAGAATATGTTAATTTAGCTAAAGATTTTTCTCCTCTTTCATAAATTTACTAGTGTGTTAATTTGCCCATCAGAATGTCATGAAAGATTGATGTTGGTAAGACTTCCTATGCCATGTGTGTTTGTAAGGCTGACAAAGTGTATTTTAAAGGCAGTTTTGTTCATGATAAATTCCTACTGGTGATGGTTTTCCATTGACTGCAATGATTTTTAATGACTTTTTTCCCAGTATTTTTTTTAGTATTTGAATTTAAGCTCACTGGTCTCACTCCTAGCTCTTTCACTTCCCTTTTCTAAAGCTGGACGTTCCATGTCACTATTCTGAATAGGCATTGCTGCTAGGCTTAATTTGTGCATGTCCTAAAATACTGCTTTATTTTTTAAATATTATAAGAAAAATGAGCTGTTCACTTGAGCTGAGTAATTCCACCCCCCGCCCTAAGAAAAAAGAGTGTCAAGAGATTTGCCACAGCTGCTGGGCAGCTGCATAGGTTAAACTTTCCCTTTAATTATTTCTGTCTTTAAAGTTATGTGAGAAATAGATACAGGAATGCATTCTTCTTTCATGTGATTTCTAATGTCTTGAAAACATCAGAAAATCTGTATTTGTGAATATATAAGAGGATGAAACAACTCAAGGCAGCAATTTGCTTTTCTATGTAACTTTATGGCAAGAAATGAGGATAATGGAAAAAGAGAGACAGGGAGATGGGAAACTTTTATTGAAGGTAATTCTGGCTATGAAACCATGTTATTGCAGGGGATAAACTACAGAGGAAGTGTTGTGGTTTAACCCCAGTAGGCAGCTAAGCACCACACAGCTGCTGACTCACTCCCCAGCCAATGGGACAGGAGGGAGAATCAGAAGGGTAAAAGTGAGAAAACTCGTGGGTTGAGATAAAGACAGTTTAATTAAAAAATGGAAGAAAAAAAAAAAAAACCAACAAAAAGAAAGGAGAAAAACCCCAAAACCAAGAAAAACAAGTGATGCAAAAGAAAACAATTGTTCACCACCAACCAACCGACACCCAGCTAGTCCCCAAGCAATGGCAGCCCCTGCCAACCTCTACCCCCTAGTTTTATTGATGAGCACAATGTCATATGGTCTGGGATGTCCCTTTGGCCAGTTGGAATCAGCTGCCCCCGGTGTGTCCCCTCCCAACTCCTTGTGCACCCCAGCCTACTTGCTGGTGGGTCAGTATGAAAAGCAGAAAAGGCCTTGACACTGTGTAAGCACTGCTCAGCGGTAACTAAAACATCCCTGTGTTATTAACACTGTTTTCATCACAAATCCAAAATATAGCCCCATACCAGCTACTGTGAAGAAATTTAACTCCATCCCAACCAAAACCAGTACAGGAAGCTTGAAGAAAAAGTAAGAAACATATTCTGCATTGACAAAGTGGGTAGAAAAATATGCTGTTGAAACCAACAAGAGGATGTGTCTGTAGGAGATAATTTTAATGAGGTTGTGTTTCTGTTGGCTTATATTTCAGAGTAGATAAATCAAATTACCAAACTCTGATACTTCCAGTAAACATATAAAACAGTTTCTATAAACCATCTTTAAACTCAGTGTATAGAACGTACTTCATAATTGCCAAGTTCAGCACTTATTAAAGCACAGACTTGCTCTTTTCTTGCTTAAAGTTGGTTTGCAATGACTTCATAAATTCCAACAAAAATGTAATCTATAAATAGGCTTCTTGAATGAGAACAGGATTATCAAACTTGAAAAGTAACTGACTCACGGGGAGGGAAGGGAAAATGATGGCGTAGTTTCTCTTTCTACTGTAATATGTACTGTCATCTTATTTTCAAAGGAGTTTTGAAGAAGTCTGACGGGTGGGTTGGTTTAGGTTGCTGTGAGCTAGCTATTGCTGTGGAGTGTCGGCAAGCGTGTAAACAGGTAAGGCTTTCTAATTGTTTTTCTGTGGTTAATGTCAAATGACACCGTGTTGAATTCATTTATGTATTACTGTTTATGAACTTCAGGCCTAATGCATTTTTTTACATCAAAATTAAATTATCACATAAAATCTTTCTAAAATTGCAAAATACGACTAGATATTTCCCAGGAAGTGCTACTGGTGATAAATCCAGCAACCAATTCCAAAAACCAAAACAAAGTATTTAGGTTTTTAAAGTGAATTTTCAGTAAAAAAAGTAAAAGTTCAAGTCTACTGAAATGAAAACCTAGTTTAATAAAAGTGGTGGGGTTTGTGGGGGGCAGGTTTAATATGTATTTTCAACTGTGCTGTAGGATTAGGTTGCTTGCTATGACTTCATGAGCCTGAAGAAGAAATTTTAAGACCTTAATTAAGGTCTTAATTAAGGCACACCTTAAAAAAGCTGTGCCTTTTTTGTACATTCTGATGCCACATTTAATTGCTCAGTAATGAAGGTAGAGTTAAGATGAAATCTTACTGTGTTTATAACTTTGACAGCATAGAAGTTCCAGTATGAGAGCCGGCGAGCTGACTGCAGGTGTGTCCTAGCACCAGTGCACTTGGCAAATGGAGCGAATCCACTTTGCTTTGCTTTGCAAACAGTAGGCACGTGATTGTTGCTGATGTGCTCTAGTTTGCTAATTTGTAGTAATTTATTGACTGAATCCATGAAGATTCTGAAGCTCTCTGGTTATGCTAAACTTAATTTCTTGATTTTTTTTTTGTCACAAGCTCTACATGAAGGTTCTTATTTTAAAATAATGCTGAGTGGAAGGTGACATGTGGCTGTTTCTAAGCTCTCTTTTTTTTTACAGTTTAATGTTTAGTGATGCAACATTGTGGTTACAGCCCCAAGTAGATTTTTGTGCCTCTTAAGAGGTTTTTGTTCACCAGATGGAAGATAGTTGGTTTTGGTGTTAGTGTCACTGTTTTTGTCAAGTGACAATTTTAAGCATAATACATAAATTTAGCAATGACCTTTTTATTAAAAACCCGTGAAGCATTTTGTAATTTCTTTTTCCCAAATACAAAACATCTTCAAAGTCAAAGAGCGTGTAATTATTTATCATCATCCTTGTAACTCAGTTCTGGAGCACAGATGTACTTCATATCACTGTAGTATCTTGCACGTTACCTGTGTAATCTTAATCTTGGACCAGCAACCTACTGCAAATTGTTGTCATACAAAAAAAAGATGCTACCTTCACGCAAAAGCATATAGTTTAAACTATTTGACATGAGATGAGCAGTGAGTACACAAACTGAGTGGTGTGGAAAAGAGATGAGTGAGTAAACAAACTGGGTACTTTTCATGTTCTGAAAAGAAAATACATGTATCTGTTCCCAAATGCATTTCTTAGCAAAGTTTTCAAATTTATCCTAATGTTTAAGTGTTTTCCAGACCTGATAAAAACAATTCTGTTTATTGCAGTGTCCTATGAAATTCTGTTAATTTAATCTTATGATTGTTATCTCATTTCTCATTATTCTCAGAATCAGATGCTGTATTGTGTGATTGCAGACTCTGCTGTCTCAGAATCTTGGCTATACATTCCATATGATTTTTGTTTAAACTAAAATATAGATACTTGCCAAACATTGGGGGTAATGGGAAATACTTGGATTTTAATTTTGGTTCTTGAAACTTGAGGGGGCTTTGGAGGCATTTTGAAGAAGGTGATATGATAGGTCCAGGGCCAGAATTCACGCTGGTATTTTAAATTACTGGAGGCGGAAATAACTAATATTAGTAGTAAAAATGATTTTGAATATCTGTCCTATGAAAAAGGAGCAAGAGGTACTCTACAGAAGAAACTGATCTGCAGTTTGAAGGGAGAATTTCTGCAACTCAGTTTGACAATAGGAACTGTAGGACTGTACGTACAAGAGGGAGGAGAAGGGAGAGAGGTGTGTAAGTGGTACTGAGCATGCAAAATGGGGAGATTTCTATGCTCAAGTTCTTCCATTTCCCAAGTGTTTCCTGTATTCTGCTTTATCTGGTAATCCTTTCACAAAAACAAAGTGGCTTTGTGTGCTTCTGGTATCAACTAACTTGGTGCAGAAATATGAGGGTTTGGTTTTTAATTAAATGTTGTATTGACAGTCATGGTTTCTGCTTTTTTTCTTAAAGCTTTACATGGTTTCTTTACATGGATTCTTCCTACTTCCTAAGAAGAAAGATTTAATAGATCATGAATCCGTGGTTATCACAGTTAATATAAAGGTAGAATCGTCTTTATTTTGCAACATGATTTTATTCTTTTCTGCTACAAATGGAGAAATTTTTCTGTCTTTCAGGCATCTGCAAAGAATGATGTTTTAAAGGTGTGCAGGAAGGAATACGAGGTATGTGTATATGTGTCTGGATATATCTTATTAAAAATCAACTGGTTTATAAATTCTGTAAAAAGTGTCCTGTAGAAGAGGGAAAGTCCAGTCTTCTTACAGTCTTGTTTCTGGATATACTCATTCTCACCCAAATGTAAATTACCTGTCTCTACAGTATTTATAAAAGTACAGTTGTTTTCTGTAAGAAGGGCTTGTCTTTTTTTTAGACTTGCATATATCTTAATTTGAATTAAAAAGATGCAACTTTCAAAATGGAGACATGGATTCCAAAAAAGTTTGTTTCATAGGAGTTCTAATGAAAGTCAGCATTCATTGTGAGCATTCATTGTGTCAGAAACATTTTGGCTTCTATAGTGGGAGAGTCAGCTTAAAAGTGACCTAGAGAAATGAACTCAGGAAAGAATAACTTTAAGTATCCTATCCTAATGTAAATAACTTCAAATGAATATTTTTTGTAAGATCAGCAAAACTATGAATGCTTGCAATTATTTTTACTGTCTGCTCTTAAAATTAATCATCAGTAATTTTCAGAAATCTGCCTTTACCTATACTCTTTTTAACACGGTTTGTAGAAATACTATTCTGCTAGGACTTCTTTTCTTTCAATCTGTTTCTTAATTAAAAGCCAGATTCCTCCTCCCACCTTTCATCTCATTTCCTCCTGCCCTGAATTAGGTAGTCCCGCATAAATTCTGCTCATAATCAACAGTTCAGGATATCAGACAATTCTCTGTTCTCTTGATTTGGGCAGAAGTGTAGCAAGTTTCCTGTTTTTCCAGAAAACACTAAATTCTTTTTTTTTTCCCCCTTTGGTCCTTTTATCTAAACAGTCTACAGAGTATCTTCCTAGACTCTTCACTGTTGAAGTTACCATAGCTCGTTCTCTTAAAAACGAATTTTTCATTTTAAGTAGTTCTGTCTCCTCGCATGCTATGATATGCTATACTGTCAACATCTGTAAGCTTCTCCTCTATTATACTGGTCTGTTTCCTTCTTTTTTTCTGGATTTCTGCATTGTTGTAGGAGGTTGGCCAATATGGGTTGAAGGAGAACGGGAGAGGAAAGGTAAGAGATTAAAGAATGACTACAAAATGGTGGTAGTCATCTTATTTACTTTTCCTAGTTCTTCTTTTTCCAGTTTTTATCTGGAATTTTGGAAAGTGGGTCCCTCTCTTTCAAGAGTGATCTTACTGTTACTGTACAGAAAACCTTCACTCCCTCTATCTGTGCAACACTAAAAGAGAAGGAGAGGGAGAAAAATGATGGAAGAAGGAATCAGTCTTCTGGTTGGTGAAGAGAACTTTTTAAATGAGCGCTAGGAATAGTAGATACAGATACTGTGTTAGAGACCAAAATTAGGTATCTGATGTGGTGGATCTTTAGTTATTACAGAATTTTTATGACACTGGGTTTTCCTATGTGTCTAGGCTTAAAGGTACTCATGAAAAATGGTACTTACAGTGGTCTCAAGAGACCCATTGCTTATGTAAAATTCAAGGAAGTTCCACCTAAGATAGGAGATTCCAAAAAATACTTCTGGAGGGAACCTACACTTTTTCACACCCTAGTCATTCTTTATCATTTTCTTAAAAAAGTATTTTTCATGGTGCCTTGGTGAACGTGTTCTGCTCCCTCTGTAGCCTGTAAGTAGCTTCTGTGTCCGTGACCTGTACCATACTTTGTATTTAGCTGGGTTGGCTGGGGAAGAAACTGAAAACTGGGAAGGGAGTGGCTAGTTAAAACTGAAACAGGTGACATAAGATCAGAAACAGCCTGTGAATCACACAAATGCGATGTCATACATACTGTGTTGGCCTTTGCGTTTAAGAATTCATACCTCATTCACTAAAAATGAGGATCCAATCTGAGAATTAGTTTATGATATAAAATCATAGTGCTTGCTCATCAGCTCTCAAGTCTGTTGTTGAGGTATTGAATATATAAGTACATGACATGTAAGTAAAAACTAGCTGAATTAAGACTATAAAAGTATAATTCCCTTTTTGTAATCACTCTCATAGCTTACCAACTTTCATAGCTTACTTACATACTCACATAAGGATTTCCCAAGGATTTTCACAAGCTTCTTACAATAGTTGACTGAACTGTGCATGGTGCTTTTCTGTAATCTTCTGAGATTAGGGAAGCAACTGCATGAGTTACCCTTCAGCTTCCCACTAAGTGAGCATGAAGAATGAGGTAAGTCTAGGGCATAGCATTCAGAGCAGTGAAAAAAACCTAAACTCCAAGCAGGAGGTGTCACAAAGTTTGAAGTTGCTAAGTGGAGTCTCAGGTTGTACAGTAGCAGAATCACTTTCCCATTGATGTGCCAGCTTTTCACAAGATTAATTTGAAGATGCTTTTTCTGCTGATCATATGTTTCTGGATTACTTTTACTGTACATATTTATGAACCTTGTGATTCTTCTAATTTGGAGATTTTTACACATTTTAGAAATGAATCGTATTGTAATAAGCTATTCATTTTTGATCAGTGCATTGAAGAGTGCGTGTCCTGTTAAACATTTTTTATTTTCAAGTAGCACTGCATACAGAAATTCTTGCTGAGTATTTTTGAGTGTTGCTGAAAGGTACTTTATTGGCTTTCTTTTGAAAGATTTTATTGTGGTAGTCCTTTTTCCCATCTTCTGCTTCTCAGATACTCATTTTGTCATCTTCATTTTTTCTCTAGTTCTATGCGTCTCAACTCTTTTATCTTTCACTACTTCTTCCAGCTTTCTGTTATCCTGTTCGTCTTCCTCTAAAAAGAAGGTAGGTAGTAGTCAAAGTAGTCAAAGAAAACAGAAGTGGAGACTGTATGGATTACATGTAGGATTTTCTGATTTTTCCTATTTTTAAAAGTTTTGTGTAAAGTTGAGGTTCATTTTTTTAAAAGACTGCATGGAATACATGCCTGGAAGAGTAACTGAAAATAGGTTATAAAGCTTGAAAGAAGCTGTAAAGGCTTTATTAATTGCATTTAAGATTGCTTTTCTTTCTTCTGTGCATGGAGAGAGAAGTAAAAATTTCCATTAGATTGCAGCTCTTGAGTCTCTACACTGCGTACTGTGAGTTCACCTCTCTGCACATTAAATACTCCAGTTCTTATTTCATGTGTACTAAAAAGACATTCAAACTTCTCTAGTTAATTGCCATTATGAGAGCTTTGCTGCAGCTGAGTGCTATTAACATCTGCCAGGCAGTGGAAATATAATTTGCAGGGTTGCCCATTGTTTAGCTTCGTGCTCTTAAAACTATTTTTGACACACACTAGTAAACACTTTTGATGTCCTTGGAGACTGTTTAAAGGTATTTTTGCTCTAACAGATTTGAGCACTGTTTAGCTTAATCTGTTTTCTTACAGTTTTTAAGTACAGAAACTTCAGATGCAGTGCCTGTAGCTTCAAGTGCTGTAGTAGGGATTCAGAAAAGTATTCACTGTGCAACAGTATTGGCTTGTTTTATCTTCTAGGGTCATATGATCCTGCTTTATGCTGAGGTTTTAGTGAATGCTGACTACTGATTACCCCTTCTGAAAAAGGCAGTCAGCAGTTTTTAGCTCTTCTGCGACACCCTCTCTCCCTAGGAACGCACAAAGCAACAAGAGTAGGAAGAAGCATTGGAACAGGCTGCCCAGAGAGGTGGTGGAGTCACCATCCCTGGAAGTGTTCAAAAACAGGTAGACATGGCACTTTGGACATGGTTTAGTGGGCATGGTGGTGTTGGGTTGATGATTGGAATGATGATCTTAGAGGTCCTTTCCAATCTTAATGATTCCTACTTTTTACTTTCATTAAAAATAATCCAGCCACCAAGCCAGGAAACATGAAATTGCTACTCTACCCTTAACTGGTTTAGTGGTGGACTTTGGTAACGTTAGCTTAATGGTTGGACTGGATGATCTTAAAGGTCTTTTCTAACCTAAACGATTCTATGATTCTGTAACTGAAGGAGCTGTTTAGGACATCGTTTAGGAAAAGGTTCCAAAACAGTTTTAATGAACGCCTAAGGTACATGGCTGTGTGTGGCCTCTGGAAATACTACTTAACGAATTCAGGGTGGACTCTGACCATATATTGCACATTGTAGCTAATATTATTGTCATCTTACCTTCTGGTGCTTTTTGTCTCTACTGTTCAAAGAAGGTTGATAGAACATTCAATAATCTTGCCAAAATTTAAGTTCCAGTGATTTTGTTCTACCTTACTGTGCAAGTATTCTCACTTCTTTACTGGTTTACATAATTGAGGAAAATCTTGGCCTTGTTAATTACTGCAAGTTTTTAAAGTTCTTAACAGATATGCATCATCATTTGAAACTTCAGCTGACTCCACTAAACTTTAGTATGTTACCTTCTGACTTTAACTCCTGTTGATAATTTCTAAGATTAAAAGAAGTCAAGCAGAGGTTAACAGGACTTTCATTACTGTTCTCATCAAGTGAAGCATTTTGTTTCCTAGTGTATTTGTTAACTGTAGGAATACTTCTAAATTAAGATGGCCTTAATAGATCCTACCTTAATTGGGTAGGATCTATATTCAAATATTTAACATGGTTAGGTTGCCCAAGACAACAGTACTAAACTTACTTTTCTGCCAGAGTTAGTAGAATACAGATACCATGATAGTTTTTAGGGAGGAAAATAATCTTTGATTTTTAGCAAAATACTCTTAAATTCTGGTGTGAAAGAACAGTTTCGCTGTCACTTTTAATTCAAGACACAAGAAGCAGCCATTTAGAAAAAATGTGCTTATAATATACAAGCATGTGTTCTGCTCTATTTGTGTTCATGTGCATGCATTTTGGTTTTTGAGCCGTTACCTGCAGCTGATGAGCTCCAAAAAGAGCGAAACCAGTTAGGTCCTGCAGTACTGGCTAAAATCTTTCTTCAAGGAGCTTCTGGTGAGGAAGACTGGACAATGTTCTCTGCTGGATAAACTTAATTTGCCTTTTTCAATTTCCGTAACACCAAAAGATCTTTGAGACTGTTTTCTTTAA